CAGTGGAATTTGCTGAGGACCAGGGTCTGTTCTTCTCTGAGACTTCAGCTCTCAGTGGTGAAAATGTGGAGAGTGCATTTCTCAAATTGCTAGAAGAGATCAATAGGGTAGTCTCTAAAAAGGCATTGGAATGTGGCTATGGGAAGGAGAATGGTTACAACAATGCCACCACACTCAAAGGGTCAAAGATAGATATAATATCAGGTCCTGAATTGGAAATTAGTGAGATGAAAAAATTGTCTTCATGCTCTTGTTAATGTTGTTGGTAAAATACATTTTAGTGGATTTGATTTCAAGTTTGCAAAAGAGAGGAGTGAAAAGTATATATGCATATGCTTGATGGTGGGTGAGGCTAAATTGATTTCATCTGGTCTTGCTTTCCATGCTAAGAGTTGTAGAGTAATTATCCCTTTTTCATTATAATCATGACTTCTTACAGTTATGGCACATTTATAACATTTAGTAAAAATGGGTACTGATGGTCACTTAGAACATTCACCTAATATGTAACTTCTCTATTCAAATTGTGTTCAAGTTTTGTCCTTCATAAAAAAAATTGTTTTGCTCTAACACAAAAGATTCTTAATTATGTACTTTAACCTAAAAAGTTGATAGAAAGGGGCTTAACTGTAACAGTTAAAAATTTGAAGGATTAAATTTGCTCAAAAAAGTGTTAGAAATAAAAAATAAAAAATTACACAGCTATGATAGAGGAATATTTTCTAGTATTGACACGACCAACAAACTGTATATTAGAAGAATGTCATAAATTATTTTTATGTAATAATATTAAAAAGAAAAAGAAAAGGGGATGATCATGACACCAGTGGGTGACCCACCCCTTTTCCTCCCTCCAAACTGAAATCTGAGGGATCCAAACTAAACTCTAGAAAGAAGTTGGTAGCATGAAGATACAAAGCTTGCTGCTATAGGGCCTCAACCTTTGTCGTTTTAAGTTTACTGGTTTTAAATATGTTTAATTAATAACAATCCGTTGTAGTCTAGTTGGTTAGGATACTCGGCTCTCACCCGAGAGACCCGGGTTCAAGTCCCGGCAACGGAAGGATTTTTTTTTCCCTTTTATTTCTTAGTGGATATTTTGGTTCTATTTCAAAATAAGGCTCTATTGTGCTACGATAGTTACCTTTCAATATTCAATTTCTAGATGTCGGTTATGAATTTTCATCTTTATAAAGTTTGTCTGTCTTTTTAGTATTCAGCTGAAACTAGTTACACTTATCGTTGTAATAACAATAACATAATGAATGGGTTTTTTTTTGTCAGCATAATGGATATTGGAGCAACTGTAATGGGCTCATAGCCAATTAGACTTGAGATTACGTGTATATTAAGAGTTGTGATATCTTTTAGTTACCCAATTTCTAAAAATTGCATATTCTATTCATCCAATAACATGTAGTGCTAAGAGTTTGACAAAACCCGAAAAGGGGGTTGTGGTGGAGATTCAAATCTATACATTCCCATAAATTATAACACCTCAGAAGTTATGATTATGACTGTGTTTTTGTAGAGCTATTTTGATGGGTTTGTTTTATTTGGTGACAATTTAGGATTTGTTGGACAAGTAATCTATAAATTTTCTTGCTTGCAAATCAAATCAAGGGCCAAATACCACAATGGTTTAGGTAATGTATATAATTCTGGTCAAAGGTTAGCAAGACAAAACTGCAAAAGAAAATGACACGTTCATGTCAAATACTCGTAACATTATCTATATTTTTTTCATCTTATCTAACATTTCTTTCGTAAATTGTATAATTTTTTTTCAAGATTTTGTTGTATAAGTAGTATATCTCAATAAAATATCCTTGTTCCAGAGATGCTTTAGGACTTGTCCTAACCTCAATCGTTAATTTCCATTCAAATTATACCAACGATTTTGTCATAATTTTTCTAACTAGCTCAAAGCTTTGTGTTTCCACATTCTTTGACAAAAAGATGCAAGTTGCTCAACTTGAACGTCCCTGAACATATCATACCCAAGGAATATTCTTCACAAGTTTTAATTGCTCAATCATGTTCTTAATTTTATGTTCATGCTGGAAGACACTGCAATTAAAAGCCTAGACTAGCTTGACTTGCTTAATTTGAATCCGTTGGATTCAATAAAATCATAATTAATTACGTCCAAGTCATGTTGAGTGGCTAATTTTGAAAAGGAAAGAATATATAATATGTGCTTGGCAGAGTTTGATTGGGTTTAATTTCAATTTCGCGGATGCAAGAAATACTCTTTTAAAAATATTTTTAATTATTAATTAAAATTTGTTTAAAAATTATAACTTTTTTACTATTAAATTAATATATTTGTATACCTTTTAAAAAAATTTAATTAACGATAAAAAAAAGGCATAAAAAAAGTGTGATAAAGAATGTTATTATAACTTTGGCACTGATAAGAAGAGAAGTGGAACAAGTGTCCTGAGGAGTGATGCAGAATATTAATGCTAATTTAATATTGCCTTTGTAATTGAAACAAATGTTGTGACTTAATTGCTGCAGGGAAAAGAAAGTAGTTGGGAATGTCATGGTCAAATTAAAGGTACTGAAAAGGGCTTCCATTTATATCCATCTCCATTAGCCTATAGCCCTGTAAATTTTGATTTAGATAAAAAGAAAATCATGAAATTGGTCTTCCACCTAGTCCCTAGATGCAGAGGTGCTGAATGCTCAAATAAATTCATATTTATGTTTTTTAGTTATAATAATGCAAGATATTATTTGTAACGACATAGTTTGAAATCTCTATTTTTAATCATCAATTTTTTTTACCTTACTTGTAAATTTAAAAAATATGCTATATGTTTGATTTTGTAATTTAGCCTCCTTGAAAATGAAGAAAATAATTACACACTCACACACACACACATATATATATATATATATATATATATATATATGTTTCTTAAACAATTCGCTGCATGAAACCATAATTAACTTTGAACATTTAGACGAGTGAGTGCACATTTGGATAGCATATAAAATTATATTAAACTGTGTTAAAATTATAACGTAGTGTTCAAATGAATTTGTGTTTTAATATATTACAAAAATGCAACTTTTAAATTTTAATTATAATAAACTATTTTATAAATTATATCCACTTTTATATTTTAAAGGCTTTATAAATAAACTTTTTTGTTATCTATTCAACTGTAAAATTATAACTTAGTAGTGTATTTACTTTTTATATATAACTTTCATAGGCAAAAATTTTAAAAAAGAAATGTCTGGCTGTGCATTTTTTAAACAATTTTTAATAAAAAAAATTAGGACTTTTGAAAACTAGTTGAAGAATCAATTTTCACAAATTTTAAATATAAAATATACATTCTAATAAAAATATAATTAAAATCAATTTATGTATTTTAGTTATATTTAATAATTTAAAATTAACTTTATTAAAATCAATTGTACTTAATTTTAGAACAAACAGATATTTAGTAGTGTATTTAAATTTGTTTGGTTAATAATTTTTCTTGAAAAAGTTATAATTTTAAAACAACTAACTATAAAATTGATGCGTCATCCTGTGTGTGTCTAACTCTAGAGACATGGACACCTATAATTTATACATTGCTATTTGCTAGCTAGCACGTGTAATATTCAACGATACACGTAAGTACAATATCTCTCTTGCAATTAATTAAAACAATTCCACACATTACTGATATAAAAATTTTCTATAATAAGCACTCCAATCATAAATACAAGTCAATAATTATTATTTATAATACATGTCGTGTTTTTCATCATCTCCTACAACCTAAGTTATAAATAAACGCATAAAATATAATTTTTTGACCTTGTCAATCTCCCTCTTCAGAGGTAACTTTTACTTAAAACCTTTAAAGAATTATGTTTATGTTAACTTAAGCCTTAAATAAATCGAGCCAAACTACCTAAATTCAATTTTGATATACATAGCTGTTAACAAATTAAATAACTTACTTGTTATAGTTCTAGCTTATGAAATAATGAACGACGTGTAAATTCTAGAGCCATTCACAATTTTATGTATAAGTCATCCTATAACTTTATATACTATGCATGCTTGTAATATTCATTTAACATCAATTTAAATCCATAAAGTGACTCTGTAATTAGAACACTAGAAGAAAATTATTAAATAAGAATGAACTATATATAACAAAGCCAAATTAATATACAGCATGATATGATCGAGTTACATTTTTTTTAATTGTATGAACTTGTTTATTTCAAATAATAATTCGACATCAGAACTTTTTTTTAGCCATAATGACAAAAATGAATATAAACTAAGGCCGAAATTACTATTTATTTTAAACGTGTAAGGTTAAAACGTGGAAAATAAATGTGCTATTTAAAGAGTGCATAATATACAGTAAAAACAAAATCATTTTTCAACATTTTATTCATAATTTTTGTGAATTTTCATTAGTTTTTTTCATATCGTCAATGCTTGATTTACATTGACCAGCATAAATATTTTATGTATATATTTTTTGAAATGTAATTTTTTTCGTCTGCAGTGTGACTCTTGAATCACTAGCATTGCGTCATACAAATGTTTATTAATTTCTATATATATTTTCGCAGTATATTAATAAGATATAAGACTTATGACTGGAAAGTTTCAAAATTAAGAAGCATATTATCAAAACGTGAACACAAAAAATAATAACAAATAACATTTAATTGACTGGGTTGATAATTGAATTTGAAACACAACCATTTGTTATTCATTTAATTGTATTATATTTTAATTTATAAGAATTTTAAAATTATTAAAAATGATAATAAATGTATTTTTGGTCAATAAAAATTTAATATTTTTAAATGTTTAAATTCGTTTTGAAGTTAACAAGATTAAAAGAAAAAGTGAAAACTTACATGGCAATTGACTCCCCATTCATCAAATTTGGAAAATAAAACTTTACATGGTAGTTTTCTTTTGCTAATTATTATCCTATATCAATAATGATTCTTGTGCTATCATTATATACATTATCACTAAATTAAAATGATATCAATGAAAATCATTCCCAAAGGACCAATATGAACACTTTTAATTGGGGGCTAACCAGCCAATAAATGCGTTAGCTAATTTGCTTCATTAGCAAAAAAATCTTTGCCCCCAAATTCACAAAAATTGTCAAATTTGTATTTTGTCTTTCTATCTATCGTGGCCCAACGAATTAGACAGTTGGGTTCTTTTGGCGTTCCGTAATTTGAAAAAACCGTAAAACTTCCGCAAATCCTTAACCGTAGAGAATCCGTCCCCACCACAAAGCACCCCTTCGGTAACTTCGTCCACGTCACCATCCTCTAACTGCCGTCCGATCATAACACCACACCTTCTCCCATCACCGTCCGTTTGCAACGCCCCGATTACCGATTTTATCGCCCGACTCGGCGAGTTCCGATTCGCGATCATCAACTCACCGATCTCGGCGGGACTCAGACTCGCTCCGTGCCGGAAAATATCTTCCACTTGCGCAAACAGCTTGTGCTCTTTCACTCCGAGGTAACTACTCGCCAGCGTCTTGAACGCAGAGAAATCGCACGTTGGAAAGTGAATGTGCACGTCGACCCGACCAGGACGCAACAGGTTCGGGTCGACGCACAGCTTGCTGTTCATCGTGAACACCATTACTCTCTCCTCGCCGCAACACGAACTCACGATTCCGTCCATGAAGTTCTGGATCCCCGACGCCGTAACCGCTGATTCCGAGTCCTCCGTGAGGAACCGATCCAGATCCTCCACGACGACGATCGACTTCGGCGTCGTTTCTAGGAGGAGGTGCTTAAGATCGGAATCTCCGCGAACTTTGGAGAGGTCCACGTCGTAGACGTCGTAGCGGAGGAAATTCGCCATGGCAGCGACGAAGCTCGATTTCCCGGTGCCGGAGGGACCGTACAAAAGGAAACTCCGTTTCCACGCGCGGCCGAGCCGCTGGTAATATTTCTTCGCCTTGAGGAACGATTCGAGGTCTGATTTGATCTTGTTCTTGAGATCCTTCTCCATCGCTATGGTCTCGAACGTCGCCGGATGATTGAACGGAACGGATCTCCACCGCGCTCCGGCGGAGCCGGGGCCGTTGATGAAGAGGCGCAAATGGCGTTTCCCTTGGTGTTCAATCTCGTCGGCGACGGCGTGGATGTGGTGAAGATAAGGGCGGAGAATCCGTCGTTTATCGGTTTTTCTGATTCTGAGAACGAACGCGGCGGTTCGGTCCAGTTCGGTTTTTTGGTTGAACCAGAAGAGCGTGGCACCGAGAAAACGGTCCTCGATGGTTTGGCCAGGGTCGAGGCGTAAAACGATGTCGTTTTGGTTGTTACCGGTTATTAGGTTGGTGAAGTCAGAATCTTCAATGGAAGGAAGAGAATGCAAATAGAGAGAGACCTTGCGGTAAAGCTGGTTCCTCTGCATGCTTTCGTTAAATTCTGGGACTTTGATGAACTGGTACACGTGGAACCAATCTTGAACCCTTCTCAAGAGTTTCTTGGTCGTGTATATCATTCCCGTTTTGAACAGCATCCACCGAATCATGAAACAAACGACCACACTGAGGACAACCATTAACACGGTGTTGTACGGAATCATGGCAACAATGATCCAAGACCCAATTTTCACAACTGAGTATTCTTATTGTTGTTTGTGTCTCCACTTAATTTCACAATGTTTGGGGTATAAATAAATAAAATCATATTTGCATTTTGTTGAAGGAATGTGTGATGATGGAAGATCGATGGGGAAGAAGAGTTGTGTTTTGTGTGGGGTTTTGAGAACAATGGATTCTCCAATTGCTTTCTCTTCCTTCGTCTTGTTTTGCAGCTACGTTTTGTATTCAATTCAACGTGTACGTGTTTGTTGTTCTCCTTCAACATATTTTTCCATTTCCATTTGGGGGTTCGATTATATAACACTTTCTGTCACGTAATCTGCTTTGTTAATTTCCCTTTCAACACGGAATTAGGTGAAGAGCCATGATAATTTTTTATTTTTTATTTTTTATTTTAAACATTCTATTATTTTTATTTTCAGCATCAAAACTATTACTTCAATTTTGATTCATTAATTAGCCGTGTTCATGTTCTGCCACGTGATTAATCATTTCGGTACTTGTTAATAATTAATTCCAATTAAATTTTATGAATATTATTATTCTTTTGTAATATAATTAGTATTGAGTTCAGTAGTAAATCATTTATGTACACGTGACTTTTTTTAAAATTATCACATAAATTTTATATTTTCAAAAATTATTTATAATAAAATTCAATAATTAAAATTTTATTCTCATATTCTTGCATAAAATATATTTTTATTTTATTATATATATAATAATGAATTCAAATTAAATTTAAAGATAGTTATAAACATTATTCTTTTCTTAATAGATAAATATAGAGTCAGTCAACCATAGTGAGTCAATTATACATATTTCAACTGTGCTTACAATGAAGTGACTATTTCATATATATATATATATATATATATATACAGCAAAGCTTTAAAATAACAGAAATTGAATTAATCCCTAAAAATTTAATAAACAAACTCTTACATTTGACTACATTAAGGTTTCAGTTAATCATTTTTAAAATTATTATAATTTAATCGCTTTTCTAGAAATATAAATCAAATTTCTTATTTAGTTTATTTTAAGTAAATGATCACTTATTTGTATTAGTTTTGAAAAAAAAATATAATTATAAAATAATATTTTTAAAAAATATCTCTTAAACATGTATTTAACGCTAAAAATTAGTTAAAAATGTTTGTTTAAATTTTATAAAAATTATTTTGACTATATTGTTAGTTGAAGTGATACATCTTAAAACACTTATCAGCAATATGTTTATTATTATTTTCTCCAATACTATTTTCATCTCTTTTGACAATTGTAAACAATTAGTTATAGATGAAAAATATGTTAGGATTATTCAGAAAATAATTTTCATTAATACGACCAATTCAAAGATATTTTTATGTATATCGGACATTACCCGAAAAGTTTTTGGCAGAAAATCCAAATTATTTTAATATAAAAAATGTCATTATTTAGAACAATGTTAAGCATGATTCTCATTATAATATATAATACTGTTATAATAAACACGATACACATCTTTTAAAGGAAAAGTTGATAAAACTAATATGGAAATTGATCTTAGATATTTCTCCGTGTGAAATGGAGTTTTGAAATTGATAATGTAATCAATTTAAGTGTTTGTATCTTCACTTAATGTTTTCTATGTTAGCCTCATGAATTGATTTAACTTTCATAAAAAGATTTTTTATCATAGTGTTAAGCACCACAACCTTTGTTAGATCTAGGTATTGAGGTAGTTAGTGTTGTTTTGTAAATTTAAAGTGTAGTAATTTGACTCCTTTAAAATAAATAAAACAAATAATTATATTTTTTTCAATTAAAAAAAAGTAGTTGAGATTGTAATTAAAAAATATGCAAATGTATGACAGTATAATAGTTTAAAACTTGATCATTGATAGTAAATGAATATAACCTCTCACTTTACATTCTAACTTAAGCGAATGCTCATAGAAAAAAATAAATATAAGTTTACTATTGTTTAGAACTTCCTTTAATCCTAATTTTGTTGTTTAAATAATAATAGTGTTTATTATAGTGAATTATATACTATGCATCCCAAGTCTTTATACTTTTTTTTTTCTCACTTTAAATTACTTGTGCATTTTAGCTTGCCAATATGCAAACACATTAATTAATCCTCATTTATGGTCCAACTAAATACAGGTTATTCATGTTAGAATTAAATCGGAGATTCGCCAGGATATTTCATATGTGACCTCAACCTTAGTAATTAAAATAAATCCATTGTTGTTTTACTCGATTTATTCCAAAAATACAATAAAATAGTTATTTTATCAGATTAAGTTAATATAGACATAAACAAATTTTTATAGGACTATAAATTAAGTAAACCTTGCGTTTAACGTCAACACCAATAATTGTTTCAAATAATATCATTTCAGAGAAATAATTTCCTTATGCGATTCTCTTTTTGATTGATTGGTTTTTGGTAGGCTTTCATGTCCCAAATTTGGCCTATTTTCCTTTGTCATTCATTTGAAAACCTTTTTTTTTGGTTCTTGGTCCATTATTAGTTACTATTGTGCATGAATAATAATTACGAAGTTATGCATCTTTATTTTTGTCCTCTTCTTTCCGAAATTCTCACTTAAGTCCTGATGAATGGTACCTATTATAATCCATCTTCTTTATATAAAAACAATAATATATTGTTGTGATACTGAATTTGACCTATTAATCAAATGATTGAGCCAATTATGAGTGCAGCAACATCATAGTAATTAAACGTTTCAAGCATTTTATTTTTGTTTTCCTCGTTGTGTTTGCTAATCTTATCTGTATTTTCAGCGAGGGTGTCATAATCAACAACTCAGGAGTCTTATATAGAACAGGAAGATGATTCATTATTTTGAGAAATTAAATCCATCACTTTTAAAGAAGGAACTGGTGATTCGATGAACTTTCTAATCAAAATCAACTTTGATTAGTTCGATTAATTGCTTTATTTTATTTCAAACTCAAACCGAATCAGTTGTGTTTGTTATAAGTTTAGCTTCTAGATTTATCTTTTTTAACCTAAATTAATAGAATAATTAAAAATATATTTTAGTTCATTAAATTGTAATTTTCAATTACTTTAGCTTTCGATTTTGTAAAACTTCCAATTTAAATTTTAAAAAATGACACATTTTATTTTATTTACATAAAAAACTAAAATAAATTTTTTTATAAATTTAAAAATTGAAGTAAGACTTTTATAAAATTGAAAATTAAAATGATTGACACTGATAATTTAAAAAAATAAAACGAGTGCTTATTCTAAACCAATGTGATCAATGTGTTGACTTTTAAACTTATATTTTTAATTTTTAGTATTTAGACTTTTTCCTCTATTTCTAATTTTTGATTTATTTTTATTCTCTTATTTAAGTTTATTTAATTAGTTATGTTTGTTATCCAACTTTTCTTTTTATGATATTCTAAGTAAAAAGACTAATGAGATGTATAAAATAAAAAATATAGAAAAAATAAAATATTAACAAAAAAAACAGTATTAATGTTTTGAACTGAATTAATTGTTGTTTAAAATTACTGAAGAATAAAAATATATTGTTAGTTTATAGTAATATTTAATTTAAAATTTTATATTATAAAAATTCTATTTTTTATTATTGATTTAGATTATAAATATCTTTTATAACATATAATCTTGTTTGAGTTAAATAAAATTACTATAAGTAATATGACAATTTTTCTTTAAATATTTAATGTTGCAACATATTCAAAAGTTAAACGTAAGATAAGTAATTAAATTGTAATAACTTTAAGTCAATTGATCACATTCTCAAGTTTATTATGGTATGTTTGATAAAATTAACAAATAATTAGTAAAAAATTAAAATTTTATAAGAAATTCAAAATAAAAAATTAATTAAATTAAATTAAATATATTTGATAAATTTAACTATTAAACTAAATAATGAATATACAATAATATAAAGATATATTTAATTATTTAACCTTAATTAAAAACCATATATAGTAACTAAATTTTAATTATTATTATTCATATTTTATTTTTAAAAAATTTCAACTTAAAAAATTAAGTTAATAATTTTCAACTTTATTATTAAATTTATCTATTTGCTTTTGAAACTGTTATGATAATAATAATAATAATAATTTTATAGTAAATTAAAATATAAAATAACCTATTTAATAATTTTGCCAAATATATTTAAAATAAAACCTAATTAATTATGAAAGATATCTATAATCTAACCTAAAAGATAAGAACATATAAAAAAATTATTTACTTCAGTGAACATGTTTTTATTTATTAAAAATTTCTGACTGATTTCCTCTTTTCTGCATTGACATCATCAGCTTTCCATTTCCTTGGTCACTTTTCACCCTTATAAGGATGACGGTAGCTCAAGATGATATATCTTTTTTGTTTTCCAGTGAAGACATCAGATTCCTCCATATCAGTGGGCGACTAGCTATTTTTTTCAAGCTATTGTATTTCTTTCCAAGTTAATTATTTTCTCTGCCTTTGACAAAAGTTTACGTAAGAAATATATATTAATTAGTCAATTTCAAAATTCAAAAAGAAACTTTCAAATACGCGATAAAAATATAATATTATGGTTAACATTCTATTATTCTTGTCTGAACTCCCAAAATTAATCTAAAGTGAGTTTTAGTCACCAAATTGTACCTATAATTATAAATCTAAACTTAGTATAATGCAACCGGGACAACTGTTGGTTGACTAAAAATAATTCAGTTGATTTTATTTTTATATTTTTAATTGTAATAAATTAAAGTTATTGCCAATACTGAGTAATGAATTAAACATATTATAATTCAACTGTTTGAAAGTCTTGTTACTACTACTGAACGAATCGATTACTTAGGGGCTCAAACTATGAAAGAAGTGATTTAAGACGGCTTTTCAACCCTATTAAGGAATGATATATAATTAAGCTAAACAATTAGAGGGAATTGGTCAAGCTAAACCAAGTCTATTATTGAAAGTTCTGTCCCTTTTCTCACTAACATAACACTAACTACACGCTAACCCTCATGTCCTACTATGCAATCAGAAAATACGTGTTTAAATGTGCTTTACGTCACCAATCCATTCTATCAATTTTCTCATCAAATTAATAGTTTCTGAGAATTTACTACAAATTAACTTCGAATTGAATAAAACATTCTCTTTTCTGAGAAGATGCATCATTTTGGTCTTTAATCGCGCGCATCCTGTAAATTAAACGGTTCTGTA